TTCAATAGTCTAGTACCCAGGACTTCACGTCTAGATTGCACGTGGGTTTGTTGGTGTTTTTCCAAGATGGCGGACGTGCCAGTGGGAGCTGGTATTCGATCCTTCTTATTGGACTTACTGAGGCAGGTAGAATCTCCAGATCTTTCGGAAGAGACCATTGATCATGTTGTGTTTAGACTGGAACAGATTTCACGTCATTTGTATCGAATAATAGTTATGTGTTATCCTTCAGAAGATTCCTTAATTGAAGCTGTTGGCGATTGTATCAACATGTTGTCCAACTACATTTCATTTTCCAACTCGTCTTCCCATGTTACTGCTATTGAATCGGGTGCCAGGGGCCGTCCAAAATATTGTATTACTCTTGCGAGCATAGAATTCCTACTTATCCCTTGATATATCACCAACTGTTTTATCATCTGAACTTGCTGGATTATTTCATCCAGCTCATCATCACTCAAAGTAGACCATTTATCACCAACAGCAATCCCATACTTTTTTAAACGTCTGTTAATGGTGCTACGTGAAACCCCTAGTGCTTTTGCAATGTCTGTAGCAATGTCTGTCCTGGGTACTAGATTGAATACTAGCCTTTCCCTCCCCTCCCCTCCCCTCCAAATGTTCATGTCACTATCCGAATGTGAAGACTGTATCAGAATACGAAAAGTGACTATCCGAATGTGAAGACTGTATCAGAATACGAAAAGTGACTATCCGAATGTGANCAGAATACGAAAAGTGACTATCCGAATGTGAAGACTGTATCAGAATACGAAAAGTGACTATCCGAATGTGAAGACTGTATCAGAATACGAAAAGTCACTATCCGAATGTGAAGACTGTATCAGAATACGAAAAGTCACTATCCATTCGTCAATGTAAATGCTACCCAAAATAAAAAGACTATGTAAAATCTAATAAGTTAATTATGACACACATCTACCGCCATATATTTACGCATTCGAAATATTTTTGTCAATCTAGATGAGATTCACTCGTACAATACTTGATCCCGCACACTCCTAAAAGTTTTATTGAAAATTTTCAAGACTTGGAATACAAAAGCGTTCTCTTTCAATGTCGGCGTTAACTTTTGGAATAAAATCCCAGAACATTTACGAGGTTATCAAAATTTTGCTTCAAAAATGAACTTAAACAAATGCTTCAGGATTGTCGTAAAAATACCGGGTGATCATGTTGGAATCTCCCAGCTTCCATTTACGAGGAAAATGCCATAATTAGCATGGAAAAAACTAAAAATGTACTTAATTAAAAACTTGCAGGTTTTTTTTTCTCTTACTCTCTCGAAAAGACTCTTTTAAATTTGTATTAATAAGAAAAGCCTATATCTTAAGTAAGTAATACTTTGTATTGTAAATATTTGATATAATTTAATAGCATTGTTCATCATTAATTAATAGCAATTGTCCTCGAATAATTAACTATAAATTTTTTTTAACTTATTCCTTCTCTTTTTTCCTCTAGTTCTAACTTAACTAAGGCCGCGCTTACCCAATAACGGACGAATTTTTTAACCGCGCTCAAAAATTTGTACGTTTAGGGGTTCCGTTCACGCGGGACTGAGCTATCCAAACGAAAATATCGTACGCCTAGCCGTGCAAATTTGGGAAGCCGGAAACAGTATGTTTTGCGCATGACATCCGGTTAAATGTAAAGGGTATGTACAGGTCGAATTTTTTACCGGTTAAAAATTCATCAGGTACAGTGTAAACACAGCTTAATGATCACATAGATGGAATGTGGAAGACAGCGCAATTGGTTATACTTTCTATTTTAGTCTTTTTCGCATTAATTCCCATCCTCCTGACGAAATTAAGCGGCTGGTTAATGCTTTGATCATATCTCAACTTGGTTATTCTAATAGTTTACGTTATGGCGGCCTTCCAAATTATCAGAAAGAAAAGTTACAGAGAGTGCAAAACACTGCAGCAGCTGCGCCTGATCGATTGGCAGAAGGCGCAAAACGCTCAGATCATATTACACCCGGTTTGAAGGACTTTAATTGGTTACCAGTTGAGTCGAGAGTATTGTTTAAGATTAATCATGTCTTACAAGATCCTCCATGGACTTGACATGATGAAACTTAATCCATTCAGCTCCTAATTTTTTCCCAAGGAAATTAAAACAGCAGATTTCATTTTCACATCTTACACCAAAATACGAAAGATTATAGCTGAGATGAAATGGAACAAGTACAGCATTATTTTTGAAAACAGCGAAAAGGCCAGACTACCAAGTTATGTTGAAAATTTTAAATTTAATTTATTTCCCAATCGCATTTTTTTAGATTAAAACTCATTCTCAATTTTATTCCGATTTGTCTCAGCTATAAATTTGCTTATTTTTAGGGCCAAACCGACCAAATGTACACCATATGTTATCTTTATTTTATTTTTGTAATATGATATCATAATTACGTAGAATTGAAGACGTCATTACACATCAGAAAACGATCAATTTCACAAATTGATTTTATGAATAGGTTGAAAACATAAGAAAAACCTCTTAGATATTCTACTTTTTTTCCATATAGCAA